AAAGCTTTTGACACTGTGGATCATAACATCTTGTGTCATAAACTCTCAGAAATTGGTTTCTCAGAACACACCATTGGTTAGTTCTCTAACTATCTCTCAGATGGGAGGCAATGTGTTCAACATAATGGTACTTCCTCCAGTTATTTAACAGTCAACAAGGGTGTACCACAAGGCTCAGTCTTAGGACCCACCCTCTTTACGATCTTCATAGGTAATGTATGTCAGAGCATCCCTGATGCAGCCTTACATTTCTATACTGATGACACAGTTGTTTATTGTCGAGCTAAAACAGTTGCTATGGCTTTCCAGCTTTTGCAGTCTGCCTTTGACATCATCCAGTCAGACTTGTTTCATCTCAAACTTGTCCTAAGTGCCGATAAAACCGGAAGTCGTTCCCAGCAGTTCTTCCTCTGCTTCCAAATGGTGTCCCTATTGAGTTTGTCGATTCCTATAAATATTTGGGTATCTTGGTCGACTCGCGTCTCTCTTTTAAGCTTCACGTGGAAAACCTAGTAAAGAAGCTGAAAGTTAAACTGGGTTTCTTTTTCAGAAACAGATCCTGTCTAGCTCTGAATGCTAGGAAACACCTTGTGACAGCGACTTTCCTTCCCTTCATTGATTACGATGACATTATTTACATGAACGCTCCTACAAGCACCCTGCAGATGTTGGATGTTGTCTATCACAGTGTGCTAAGATTCATAACTGGCTGTGATTATCGTACCCACCACTGCACCCTGTATTCACTGGTTAACTGGACATCATTAACTTCACGCAGACTCTTTCACTGGTACAAATTCATCTTTAAATCACTTCTTGGTCTGTTGCCTTCATACATCTCCTCCTACATGTCTCTGCGTGAGTGCAGCTACAGCGTGCGCTCTCAGGACATCATTACCTGCAGTGTTCCCTCAGTGCAGGCTGAAGTAGGCAAAAGGGCCTTCTCCTACTCCGCTCCGGATTCCTGGAATATCTTGCAAAACGATCTGAAGCTCTCGACCTTGACTCCACTGTTGTCATCACTCTTTGTTGAAATCAGGTCTCTCTTGTAAATGACTCCTCGAGGCTCAATGGGATTAACCTGTCTAAATAAAGGTTGAATGAAAAGCCTGCAGTTCATCTTTGTACCACCAGAGGGAGACAGATATGCATCATTGAAGAGTTCAGTTCCTTCATATTTAAAGGAGGTAGTATTTGGATAACTGGATCTTTATCAGCCTCCACTATTTAAACTGGTGTCCGTCTAAAAGGCTGAACAAATAACAGGCCTGAATTCAGTTCGTGAAGAAATCTGAAGTTTAGACCTTTGGTGAAAGGTGAGCGCCAAGAATTAAATCAAGAGTTGAAAGTTTAAAAAGAAAAGCTCGTCTTAAGTTTTGAACGCTATAAGTCTTCCTTTTAAAACATACAAATGAAACTTCGAGAACAATTTTTATTCATCAAATGTCGCGTGGTGTGTAAATATTCAGAATATGAACTTCTAACGCTTTGACTGTGCAGCTCATTAAGGCGTGGCCCGTGAAGTCTGATGGAACAGGCTGGAAGGTTGTGGTTCAAATCCTGTGATAAGTTCAGTTTTTAGGTCCATCATGTAAAACGAACGACTGAAGAGTTTCATGAGAGGAAGCTGCTGACATATCTGAGCATTTAGTAAAGAGTCAAAGTTGTTTTTGGTCCCTGCAACTTTTAACAACCGTCAATGAAAAAAGTGGACAGCTTGAAGGACCGGCGCTCAGGCTGGTGATGAGCGGACTGTGGGAACACAGGTGGAGAGTTCAACTCCCGGTACTGCTCGAGTTAAACGTCTTTATGGTTTTTAACAGTTCCAACAAAAGCTGCAGGAGACAGAGAGATGTGTCTGCTGTGGTGGTTCAGACTCTTAGACAGCTGAAGGTTGTGGGTTTGAGTCTTACCACTGAACCCATTTTTAAGTCTAAAAGGCAAAACTGGAGAGATAAATGTGTAATCAATGGGATTAGCTTGTATAAATAAAGGTTGAATGAAGTAAGAAAAAAAATCTCCAGATTGTGTATGGTGTCAGTGGTGCAGTGGGTTTTTCGTGCTTGTTAAGGTATCTGTGATGGTTCAAGTCCTGCCTGCTGCTGGTACCGAAGAGGTGGCTGAAGCTGAACAGAAACAGGAAGTTCTGCTAATCAAGAGTATGAACTTACAGTAGTCCCTCGTTTATCGCGGGGGTTCCGTATCATGAAGCCCTGCGATAAGTGAAAAACCGTGAAGTAGTACTTTATTTTATATTTATATATATATATATGTGTTTTAAACCCTTCCACATTCTTGCAATATCCTAAACAATGTTTCTAAACGCTCTAAAAGAGCGCAGAATGTCATGATTTCAGCTCCCTGCCTCCTCTGCTCTTTGCCACCTGCAAGCGCTCTTGGCCACGCCCACTTTTCCACTCTGCACGCTGATCAGCTGATCAGCTGCAGCAGGACGTTTATCTTGCAGTGTGGGCTGCACAAAGGTGCAGTAGGTGCTAAATAATTTTAAACAATTTATTTTAAAATAAAAAGTCCATGCCGATCGTGCGGCTCATCCATCATTCAGCCAATTGTGTGTCATGTCCATTCTTATTTTGAAAAACCGCGATAGAGCGAAGTAGCGAGGGACTATTGTATTATTAAATGTAGTCGTAGACAAATAATATATAGGAAATATTGCAGCACAATAAATATAATATTGTCTCTTTGTTACTAAAGCTAAATGAAAACCTTTGATAAAATGTAGCATTATTTTGTTAAAGAAAATAAATTCAGGTTCCATAATCCTCCATTAATTAACTATAGATTTTTAGGGGGGACACGGACCTCTCTCTGATCCACTCTAATGGGATCAGTCGATGATCCAAGTACCAGCAGCAGGCAGGATGTGAACCGGTTGCAGCAAACAGACCCACCACAACACCAGAACCTTTCACACTCAAAGCATTTCTCACAGTGCATTAATATTTTCAGTTTTGCCGTTTGGCTTTTAAAAGTGGTTCAGAGATTTGAACCCACAACCCTCAGATCTGAAGGCAGCTGTCTACCTGACTGAAACACCATCTGTCAGAATCTAAGAAGCTTAACATCCTCATCACGCACATCAACATCTCCAACATCAGCTGGATTATATTAGTTAGATTCATCAATTTTGGAGAAACTAAAACCTACATCTCATCTGCTGACGCTGTAAAAAAAATCAACTTTTTCTCTCTATAAGTCACATTTTTTGCATAATTTGCATGCCCTGCAACTTAAATGCGTAAGCAACATATTTATGGATTCCCCCCCACCCACCCCCCAACCAATTTTTGGCTGAGATATAAGAGTTTTCATTCATTCTGATTGAAATATTGAACACTACCATTTTTCAGCCACTAGATGGCAGCAGAGTTGTATGGCATGCCGTTGTATCATGTAATGACACAATCGGCTTGCCATAGTCTGCCACTTTCGTCCAGCTCGCCTGGAGTAACCGTCAAATCAGCTTCATTTCGCTGCGCCGCCCCGACAAAATGCAGCTAATTTGACCATTAAAGTGCATTTATTAAGTAAAACTTCAACTGAGACGCATCTTTACTATAAAGTCGAGCAAACAAATAATTGTTTTAGGTGGTTATCTTGTTAAATTTTGAAGAATTGCGTAGCATTCCTCCCTTTTTTCTTCCCTGTCTGCACGCTCCCGGAGCACTGAGGCAGCAAATACTTGTGAAAATCAGCTTATTTTGACTGTTAAAGTCCTTTTATTAGGCAAACGTTAGACTGAGACACACCTTTACTATAATTTCGAGCAAACAAATAATCGTTTTTAAGTATTAATCTTGTTACATTCTTGTTAAAGTCCTCCCATGCACACTCCCACGGCCGCTGTTTGGCAACTAATCGATTTTTGGCACAACACCGGCCCACATTTCCGGGTCGTTAGCGGTGACATGTAAGAAACGCGGCGTGCCAGCGGTGATGCATATAGATGCAACGTATACAGCAAAGTGACATATTTATGGATTTTTCCACTTTATTAGACATATTTGAACTGATGCGACTTATAGGGCGTAGCGACTTATAGGGCGTAGCGACTTATAGGGCGTAGCGACTTATAGAGCGTAGCGACTTATAGGGCGGAGCGACTTATAGGGCGGAGCGACTTATAGGGCGGAGCGACTTATAGGGCGGAGCGACTTATAGGTTGGAGCGACTTACAGGGTGGAGCAACTTATGAGGTGGAGCGACGTTTACGGCAGAAAATACGGTAAGAAAGTGAGTTACTTATTTTGTATTTTGGTCATGTTTTAAAGTCCAAAGAACTCGTCTTGTTCTACATCTAATCTGAAATTAAACCCGGTCACCATCCATCTTACCTGAATTTACCAGCGTTCTGTTTTTTTTTTTTTTTTAATAAAAACACTCCGGTTTATTTTGTAAAATGGAAGTTCAAGAGATTTAGTTCTAAATATCTCAATAAAAACGTTGCAACACTAGTGACAATTGGACGACAAAACAACAATCATAGGTAAGAATAATGTTATAGAGGCACTGAATATTTTAAAAGTAATAATTTTTATGAAATGACGCAGCCATTTCATAATTTCACCTGGCAAACAAAAACAGATTTATAGAAAAAAAAAAACCTGATCATTAGACAAATTGAACACTTCTGTTTGTTAAAATATATTGAAAAGTCTTAAAAGATGTAAAAAAAAAACATGTAGGAGTGAGGTCATTGTGGTTGTACTGGAGTTTCACAGTCCATTTTAGTCCATTTTCTTTCTAAACATCTTCTTCTTGCAGCTGTTCCCTCTTCAAGGGTCTCCACAGCGAGTCATCCTCCTCCATCTCTGTCCTCTGCATCCTCTGTCCTCACTCCAACTACCTCCATGTCCTCTCTAACTGCATCCATATAGCTCCTCTTTGTCTTTTTCCTGGCAGCTGCATTTCTAACATCCTTCTACCAGTATACCCACTGTCCCTCCTCTGGACGTGTCCAAACCATCTCAGTCTGGCCTCCCTAACTTTATCTCCCAGTTGTTCAACCTGCGCTTTACCTCTGATGATCTCATTCCTAATCGTATCCATGTTAATGTGATACACAGTTTGTTCGTGGTCATTTGTTTGTTCTCTTAAATCAGCAGCTTCCACTTTAGGAAAACCTTGATGGTGACGTAGTTCAGTTTTAGGAATTTTTTTTTTTTCCTGGAGGTTTCACGGGACTTTAACTCTTGTGGAGTTCCAGTAGACGGGTTGTGGCATAGTCACATGAATGTGACACGTTGGACAGGACTGTTTCTTCCACAACCACTCCTCTATGCACTGCAGAGACACAAGAAAACAGAACGTGTGAACAGCCTGAGTGAATTATTAGGTCTTTAGTTGTTGAGCGGATCTTCTTTAGACAACATGTCAACACATACTTTAGACTAAAGGCCTCAGGGTCACTATAAGCTTTTGCCACCATTGGTCAGAGCAGGCCACAGGTCATCAGATACATTAATGGGTACCAGCCTTTTATGAACCAGTCCAAATATCATGAATCTTGGTTGGAAGATTTTTTTTTTAATTTATAAGTTTATTCATTTAAAAAAAAAAAAAATTCAATATACAATAAGAAATACAATCACAAATATAATGAAAGGCAGCAGAAAAAAGAAAAAAAATTACAATATCTGCCCCGTTTTACCAAAAAAATAATTCAAACAATAATAATAATCTTCAAATAACAAAAACAAAATAAACAACTCTTTCTCGAGCAACATTTCATACGAATACACATTAAGCTATTTAATTTTTTTTTTAACAAACCAACTTTGGTCATTCTCTTAAACATATACACTGATCTGGCATTTTTAACATCACTCTCTAGATTATTCCATAATCTAATTCCTTGGATTGAGGTAGCTCGTTCCTTCAGACTAGTTCGAAATTTAGATTTCACAAAGATTTCTATCTCCTTAAGATTGTAACAGCTCTCTCTTTTAACAAAATTTATTTGGATATTTAAAGGTGATGTGTTATTATGAGCCCTATGCATAACTGATAAAATACTATAATCTAGCAAATCATGGAACTTCAATAACTTCCGTTGATAAAATAAACTACTTGATGGGTGACTGTAATGCTTTCTAGTGATAATTCTTACAGCTCTTTTCTGTAAAACAAAAATAGGATTTGTAATTGTTTTGCACGCTTTCCCCCAAACATCAATACAATAGATTAAGTGTGGAACAATTGTTGCGTTATACAACATATGCAGAGTTTTATCCTTACTTTGTACAGTACTGCAATAGTTTTAGCTATTTTTGTTCTTACATGTGATGCTTCCATGTTAGTTTTTCATCGATGATAACACCCAAAAACTTCACCTCACTAACTCTACAAATATCAACGCCCTCGACTCTAAATGGAACATTGACAGTTCTCTTTCTATTACTGAATATCATATAGTTAGTTTTATCTAAGCTTAATGATAATTTATTACGTTTAAACCAAGTTTGTATTTTTACAAATTCTGTTTGCATCAACAGCAACACCCGTTCTATATCTTTACCCAAACAAAAAAAATGTGGTGTCATCTGCAATTAAAACACATTTAAGGAGTCCTGACACATTTACCAAGTCATTCACATATAAAATAAATAACTGTGGTCCAAGTACAGAACCTTGAGGAACTCCACATGTAATATTACTGAGGTTAGATTTTACATAATTTATTTGTACAAACTGTTTCTTATCTTTCAGATAGTGTAGTGCTAGTCCTCCAATGCCATATTTATTCAATTTTTCCACAGAGAATAATATGGTCAATAGTATCGAACACCTTCTTTAAATCACAAAAATACTAACACAATATTGTTTTTGGTCGACAGCAGTTGTTATTTGTTCTATCAATTCCATGAGAGTCATTGATGTAGATTTGCTCTAAACCCGTACTGACTGCAATTTAGAATATTTTGTTTAGCAATAAATTGATCTAATCTGGTCACAGAGCAGGGGCGATTCTAGGATCTGGCCTTTTGGGGTGCTTAGCCCCCTGTACTGACAATGGCTCTTGGCTTGAACAACACACAGAAAATGGAAGATTGACCCTACGTGCAGTCACCTTCATACAAATGTGGTACTTCCTGTTTATCACTATATGTATTGTGTCTTTTACATTTATCCAGACTCCGTTTAGTTTTGGAAATGGAATAAACTGTATTCCACCCTCTAAACGCTCAGGGTAACGCTGTCTGAAGTACATGTTCTCCACTGACAATGTTTAACCTTTTTTTTTTTCCTGATGATTTTTCACGAAATCCCTCTGAGCAAAAAACGTTGGTAATGCAAAATACCAACAATGTTGTATGTTGTTCGAGGAAAAGGGGGTGGAGCTCCTGCAGGTAATGGGCGTTCACTTCGGGACAAAATGTGATTGCTGTTTATTCAGTTGCTGACGAGCCTACTGTAACGATTGGCAGGTGGCGTTGAGGATCTGACTCGTGCAGCAAATCATAGGTTGCTCTGGCCTGTTTAAATGTGTCGTCTTTTATTCCATATTTATTTCAAATTTAGTAAATATTTCTGCGAATCTAAGATTTGAGAGCTAAGCTTCCTTGCAAAATCCTAATGACGGTTTCTTTACTTTTCAGGGATGCTGAGTTAAAATTTAGGGGCGTTTGAGCACCTCCCAAAAAGAGGCTAAAACCGCCACTGGTCCAGAACCAACTCTCATGAATGTAACTGGTTTTAATTGACGTGTGCTCTTTGTTGTCTTACCTTTTTGTGGAAGGTGTGTGTGCACTGCAGCTCTCTGGTGCCACCTGAACCTTGGCTCAGGTCCACGTGACAGATCAGACACATACTGTACGCATCACTCTGGAACACAAAGTCACAAAAGTCCTCTGAAAACTGGTTTTTAAACGGAAAACATCAGCCTATTTGTCTACTCACCAGCGACATGACGTTACGTCTCCTGAACCGGCCCTGCCTCTCGGTGGGCACGGCCTCGGAGATGGTGGGTGCAAGTGAAGGCTTTTGCTCAAGTGGGGGGTCGACATCTTCCTGTGGCGGGGGCAAGAGGCGACGAGAGGAGGAGCGTCGCAGCAAAACCCTTGCGGTCACTGGAGCACAAGTTGAAGAGTGGAAGCGAGACAACTGCATGGCAGATAGGGTGTCCTGACAGAGACAAACAACAAATCAGCCAATCAACTAACCAACCACCCAGCCAACCAATCAGTCAATCAAGTAATTACCCAACCAATCAATTAACAAATCATCCAAACTGCCAACTAGCCAATCAAAAAACAGCCAGCTATAATAAACACAACCAAGCATCTAATCAACTATTCATTCAAATGGCCAACCAACCAATAACCTTCCCAGTCAACCAACCAAGAAGTCGACCAACTAGTCATCCTATCGGTTAAAGTTCATCATTAGATAATCTCAGACTACAGGTTAAATTTAATTTAAGCTGTTCTTAGAAACACAAAGTAACTCTGTTCAGCAAATGTAGCAATAAATGACTAAAATTCCAAAGGAATCGTGATATTTGAATCGTGATTCCTTTGTTTTTCGGAGAGGTTTACGTTCCTGACTTGTGTTTGTTTCTATAAGTGGAAAAGCCTCATTAGAAGCTCTGAAAGCTCATGTTTGTCTTTAACACCCAACTGGGCCAGACTCATCTGAGCCGAGTGACCCTGAGCTAAATCCAGCAGTGAAGCCGCTCTGTCGGGTTGAAGAGACGTCGGCAACTAATGAGGTGTTTTTCTCCCCTCGGGGTTAAAGAGATCAGACGACTAAATAAAGAGGAGTGGACTGATCTGGCTGCTTCATACTCCTGATTTCCTTCACTGTTGGAGCCGATTGTAAAAACATGGATTTAGGACTAGACGTTTTTGGTCTTATAGGCCTGTTGGGTTTTGGAATGGATGTCTAGGTGATAACCAAGGTTTATTTTATGATTGTTTTTAGAATGTGGGAGAGACAACAAAGCCAGAAGAAAAAAAAAATCAAGAACTTCTATAAAAACATGCAATCTCCTATATGAACAGTCCAAACAGAGGGAATATTCTTATCTGCAACTTGAGGTTATTAAAGCAACAATTGTGTAACTTGATTGTCAGAGATCATTTTGGATTCTGAAAAAAGGACAAAGAGGCATCTCTAAGTTATAATGATAATATTACATGATAATAGAACAATATAATTAAATAGAAAAATAAACAAATTGATTAAAAAAATTAACAGCTATGATGAACAACAAGCTTGGGATGGAGTGGATTTATGAAATGCATAGAGGAGCAAAATAATGACAAGCTTTGAAAGGAACTGGTCCTTAAATTGATTTTGATACTGAAGACACTTATGAAGATGGCTAGTAGTGTGGAGATAAAAATGAACAGAATGAGTGAGGGTACAGTGTTTTTCAATAAAAAGTGGTGTCTCATCAAGGATGTCACCCGAACTATAACATAATGGTAGGAACAGACTGTGGATTAATTGTTTTATGATTGAGGGAGAATCAGAAAGAGAGAGCTTGGAACTGACAAGAAGAAATTCTATGGTGTCGCCGTTGAGTTTGAGAACGTTTTAAGCAAACCAGTTCTTAACTTCTTTTTAACAGATCAGCATAGAAGATTGAGGAAGTGCAGAAGTGGGTTTAGCAGAGGGAGAGGTGGGTGTCATCAGCGAAACAGTACGTATGGATATTGTGTTTCCTGAAAACTTAACAGGGGAAATACATGAAATAGAAAAAGGAGGGGCCCGAGAACTGAGCCCTGGGGAACACCGCAGGTGATGGTTTTGAATGGAAACATCAGAGCCAAACAAACTATCATAAATGTATGAAGTGAACCAACTGAATGATATTTTTTTTGTTTATGATCACAAGCCAGGTGAGGAGGATGTTTTGAGAAATGGTGTCAAAAAGGTCTGATCAGAGGATGAAGCACCAGAACCGAAAGCCATCAGCAGGTTAGTGACTTTAACCTGAGCAGATTCTGTTCTACAAAGAGGCCAAAGACCAGACTGAGCGCTCATAAAACTATTTTTATTATTTAAATGATAGTGGATCTGCACAGTTATTTTTTTCTTTTAATATTTTTTATAAGTAAATGGTGGATTAGAGATGGATCTGTAGTTTATAAACCAGTTTTTTTTTTTTTTAAAGAATTGGAGTTATTACTACAGTTCTGAGGGAAGATGGAACAGATATGTGCAGAAGTGAGTACAGATCATGATTATCGATGTTGGATGAGGTGGTAAGCTGCTGGTAGATATTTTCAGTTTAATTCATTCTACCTTTATTTAAACAGGTTAGTCCCATTGAGCCACGAGGACTCATTTACAAGAGAGACCTGAATAAATGATGAAATGATTAAAATTAATGAAAGTATTGAAGTAGTTACCTATTTGTTGACCTTGGATATTACTCTGGACACCTTTGATCAAGAGTTGGATTGGAAATCAGATTATCTTCATTTTTTTCTTAACTATTCTCAGAATTTACTGAACTTTTCTAGAAAACATCCCTAAAACACATCCATGCACATCTCCTGACAACATCAGTGCTTTGTGGCTTTCTTACCGAACACGGCAGAGACGACCGACGGACAGACCTCATCTGGACCGGCGACTCAAAGCTGCACCTGCTGTCAGGTCTTCCTCTCTCTGACACCTCTTCCTCCTCTTCTTCTTCTTCGTCTTGCTCCTGCTTCTTCTGCCGCTCCCCTCCTCTGTACCGCTGCATCCAGGCGTTGAAGATCCCGGCATCTTCTTCTTCATCCTCCTCCTCTTCTTCCCGATCTTCTCTAATAAAAAATGGTTCTTCTGGGTCCGAAAACACGTCTTCTTCTCTGTCTAGATTCATAGTGAGGGGACTTTTTCTGCAGCTAAAGGAACATTTAGGATACGGTACTTGAAAATAAATACATCAGCTTGGGTTAGACGTACGGCCAAGTTTAGTCAATAAGCACTCAGCAGCAGAGAACGTGGAAGTTCATCCCACTCATTCCAACTTCTCAATACAAATCCATCCAGCTTCACCACAGTGTCTCCAAATTCCTCAGCTTGCCTTCTTCCTTGGGTTCTTGTTTTCCTTCTGTTTGTCTTCTGTAGCTCCGACCTGAAGTGGTTGCTAATCCCGTTACGGAAGCAGTGGAGGATGAGGACGATTACACGTGCTTACCATGTCACATGACATGAAAACACCTCTCGGCACTTCAGCTGCTCATTGATTAACACCGAGGAGCAACAAGGTGAATGCACCTGGCTAAAGCCCAGCCCTACTTCAAGGAGACAGCTCCCCTCCTCATGCAGGAACATCTAACTAACCGCATGTCTTTCTGTTTTCTGGTGATAGGCTGTTTGATTAATTTATAGTAAATTAGATATGATTAATAAAGAATTATGTTCATAAATGTCATGAAGCAGAGGTGCATCATGTAATGGCACACATTTAAACAAGATTCCCTATTAAATATATTCATTAATGAACCCTAACTTAATTATTTTACCTACAAAAAGTAAATGTTCAAAGCACTGCAATGACAGTGCCCGATATCAGAGAGAAACATTGCAACTTCCGTCAACTCTGTCGAATGGGCAACCACGATGAATCGGTTCATTTCAGGTGGGGGATTCAAGCTGCTCTTTATACTTTTTTTATATTTTATACCTGGATTATTGAGCATGGACTTTGGTGTTTTGAACCAATTTGATATGACTGTTGACGAAGGAGAGGGCAGGCACCAGAGGAGAGGGCGTGCCCCAGAGGCCATCTTAGCACCAACATAACTGTTTTTCCCTCCCCCCAGTTTGGAGTAGGTTGTTGGTGGAGAATCAGTTTTGTTTGGCATTTCCTCAGACTGATGAAGCCCTTCGGATGGAGGGTGAAACTTTTCAGCACCAAAAAAAAAGAAACCCTCCAGATGACCTGACTGAACATTGTTGGATTTTATACCTGGATTATTGAGCATGACCTTTGGTGCTTTTATACTGTTAGCCATTAGATGTCACCAATAAGTGCTGTGTTAAAAAAAATTATATAGTAATTAAACTTGTTACTAAACAAGCTTCAGTGCTTTACCTTGCCGCTGTTATGTTGACCAATCACATCTTGTCACTTGTATACATAATAAGCCAAGTGCCTTCAGCTAGCTGCTGCTGCGTCGTCCAATCACGTCTTGTCACATGTACACATCGTAAGCCAATAGCATGTCTAATGGACTCTTCGAGACTCGCTTACAATCGGCAGGAACAAGCTTGTGAATTTTGTTATAGGACTTGTAAAACGGTGCTGTGGTAGTTCGGCGGTCAGTACCGTGATTTTGTAATCCTGAAGTTGCAGTTTCATGCCCAGGTTGCACCAGGAAAGGCATCCAGCATAAAACCTAATTGCCAGATTTTTCATGCGAGTTTGGTCGCTATGGTGGCCCCTGAAGAAGGAAGCAGCCAAAAGAAAATTCCTTTTACTGAAAAGTTGGCAACACCTAATTTTGAGGAGGTTAATTCCTCTAACGATTTCCAAGGTTAGCGAAAACACTAATCCGCTAAACCAAAAATTAATTATGCTATTAACGAATTAGCGGAACTGTGCCCACCACTGCCACTACTGCTAATGCTTTGACTGTTAGTGCTACTGGTGGTTTTGTCAATGAGTACCCAATAATTTTATTTCAAACTATTAATTTGTACATTTTACATTTTTGTTCCATTGTTTTAGTTGTTTGTGTGCTTATTGGTGTGTGTGGAATTGTAAAATAAATATCTCTGAATAATGCAAATAGCTTTCCATATTGTTCCCAGTTTTTTTTTTGTTGTTGGTGTTTTTAGGGAGGGGTGGGGAGATCCAATGGGTGGTTCAGCAGTTGCACCAACTGCCCAGTGAATTGGACTTATTAAATAAAATGTATATACCATATCACCTATATATTGGGATAAACCCAAGTGTTCATAAAATGAACCCAGTTTCAGGGGTGCACTAGCCAGTGGTAGTTGCGCCTTACTCTGGTTGGTCGGATCAGACTCT